CGCCCAGAAAAGTAGCAACGATTCCACGGAGCCGTTGCTAAAGTCATAGCCTTTACGCACCATATCATCATACCATATTCAACTATTTAGTGCTGCTTTTTTGTATGGGGTAAGATCCAAATGCAAAATCAGTTCAATAGTCTAGCTGTCAAATAGAAACCCACCGCTATAACACTTATGGTAGAGGCCGCTGAAGTTTTGCGGCATACTGTGGAAAGAGGACCTTGGTCAAACTAGAAAGTGATTCTGGAATGAGCTCTCATATCATTTGTTAAGTTTAGACAATCTTATGTTATAATGCAGACTTTTGCGAATTGTCCAAAAAGTCTCAATGGTTTTGTGAGCCGACGTTCTTGACTCATACCTTAGCATTATTAGAACCACTTCAAAATCCTCACCGCAATGTGTTTTTGTTCTATGCGTGCCCAAAACTTATTTGTTCTCTTTTTAGATTTTCCATCTAGGTGTTTGCTGATTTAAAACTAGAAAGTCTTCTTTTTTTCCTATGTATTCCTATGTATTTATCACCACATGTTCTACAAGAGATGAAGGAGACGGAAACTTCATGCGTTCAGGCACATTATTTAGATCTGTTATACGACATCTGGTGATGAATACGTAAGTAAAATCACTTTAAGTCCTCATCATAGAACTCCTGGTGGGAAATTGAAATGTCGGACAGCTACTCCTTTGAGTACGCATAGAGAGAAAGACACAGCGGTAAAGGCTTCAAAGTGGTATAGGAAATTCATGGGCAGAAGTCAAGAACGTTGACGCAAAAAGCCACTGAGGCTTTTTGGACAGAGCGCAAAATTCCAGAATAGGCAGAAATGAGTGTCTCAACACAGCAAAGGATATGACCCCTTATTCCAAACTCTAATTCTCTAGTCTGAGTAAGCTCTAACCTCTATATGTCACACACCCCGGTGATCTCTTCCACATTAACTGCTACGTGGTACTAAACTATCTTAATGATTTCACGTAGAATTTTCAACACATATGTGAAACATAAACTGAATAATTAATGGATATGGTATGTCATAATATTCCCAGGGTCTGACGAAGGCAAAATCGCCGGTATGTTAGCCATCGAATTTCAAAAGAGGAGTAGCAGCTTCCAGCAAGTTTGACTTGAAGAGAAAAAAGTAATTTGTATATATACTCACATATATATATATACATATATACTCACTAAAGAATGTCATGATTTAATTGTGATAATTACTGGGGAGGGTGAGATGTACTAAAATTTGTGTTCGATTGAAGCCAGTCGTACCTATCGTTCCGGGTGTTTTCTTAAGATCGTGCTTCAGTACAAATTCGGGCTAATAAAGCTTTAAGACGAACATTGCCGCCAAAAATGATGAAAAATCATTGATGAGATTCGTGCATGAATGATTTTCGCAAGATTAGCTATTGTTGCCCGAAGTCTTTCCTTTTTCAAAAGAAGAAACCATATACTTGCGAAAAGGATTACATTCCCAGCTGCTGTAGGGCATTTTCTCATATCTTCTTGATGTTTTTGTAGTCACTAAATGGCTTGAGAAATTTTGGCTTCAATACTAAGCTTGTTGTTTGAAAATGATTCCATAGCTGATTATTAGTAAATTATAGGTGACGTTTCGAAGTCGCAACCTAATTTTTTTTGAAAGCGTATTTTTTGGGATGATATAGTTATATTACGATTCCTACAGACTTTTTGCTAAAAGAACCTAAATGTCACTAACTGAAGCTGTAACACTCAGAAGACTATTGGTTTTGCACTACAAAGGGTCACGATCTCACGCCATTGGCCTGAAATCACCGTGCCTTTGGCAACAAATTAACTAACTGCGAAACATCTTCTTTTGACTGCTGCAGTACAGTAAGGAGTTATTTTCGAAAACAAAGTTTCTATGAAAGTGGTCAAAATTTGTGCTATCGAAAAATTTTCGAAAGTCTAGCGAAAAACTTTGTTGAGCGAGAAATACTTGAGTGCGAAAGATATTTTGATTATAGTGTTAGAGCGTACTGAAAAAGCCATCCTAAAATTAAAGCACGCCATCAAAATTTCTAAGATTTCAGCTATCAGAAGGCTTATAACTCTAGGAGAAATCAGAAAATGCGTTCTTCACAAGATGTCAAAACAGGTTGCATCCATCAAAAATGATCCATATTTGCGAAATCTAATCTTCTTTTGACTGTTACGGCACTCCCGATAGTCCTATCCAAAAAATTACATTATTAAAACTGCTAAGGCTTACCCTACCTCATGGTTTTAACTACTTATGAGAAAACCTTTATTCGGAGAGAATTACTTGAATGTGAAACAATTATTCTTTCATTTGCTAGAGCGAAACAAAACGAGCCATTCAAAGAATAACATACGTGGTGGTGATAACGGGAAGGAATCGCTCCACCTCCATTTGTTCTTCCCATACCACAATTATGAATAAAAAATTGGAACGAGATTACGCATTGACCTGAGAAATGGGAATCTAAGGTGCACTGATCAGAAAGAAATTATTGAGAAATTCCGATGTAATGGGATGGCATTCAATAAGCAGCACCATTTTCGAGCAACTATTCATTGCTTTGCAGTTTTCGGGCGATATGATGAATTTTATGCACTTTATGTAATAAAATATATGAAAACTGATAGAAGAAGGACAAATTTGACTGAATTGTGGTTTACTATAAATGAAATATCATAGAAAAGTATATCTCTATCAGATCATATCATTTTGTGCAATTCTACAGAAAAGCTGTCGATAGAACGGTATGCTTCATTATAGCAGCTACGTGATCTCCTGTCGGCCACCACAATGCTAGGTAACTACATCATCTGACTTGAGGTGGTTTTTACTCGGGCGTCGATTGCTTCATAGAGCATTATTCAACCTCAGAAGATCGGCTGAACCGAGAGAGGGTGGTATTGATGAGTCTCAATAGGGGGAAACAGGCGCCTGTATACCACTAGACCTGACAGCTTAAAACATATTACATCCTTATAAGATCAAATCTTAGTGTGGAACTTTATAGAAAGTTGAGTTTTGAACAGTATATTTTACTTGATCATATAAGGGGTTTGTAGTGCAAGAGTCGTGGATCATCTTAAAAATATACTGATTGGTCTCTGGTTTGATTGTACTTCTCAGGCTCACTAAGTCCAAGAACTCCCTGCAACTGGCCGATTGGAGCTAGACATGTATGAAAATAGAAACAATCAAATAGTGTATTGACATTATGCCACTGTTTAAGATGGAAATTCATTTTCCTTTTTTTGCAATGCTCAACTCCTAAGGGACGACGTATGCCAGGTGAGGTTCACGATTTTTGAAGATCTTTCTCGCCGAACAGAACATTTCTCGTCGAACTTTAGCATAGAATTTTACATATAACTATCGAAGCTTGAATCACTACGAGTTCAACGACATATCTGATTTTTTAAAACGACTCTTTATTACGTTGTAATAGCGAAAATAAAGTTATGTTTCACAGTCAATTTGCCTCATTTGCGTGTGTCCTTTGGGCTTCGAGGGCTCTTCACTGAAGTGTTATAAGCCACTAAACAGCACAAATTTTGGGATTTTTGATGATTAATTGGCGCAACTACTCTCCAATAATACAAATCTCGGAACTATTAGCAGTATTCTTTATTTTGCAAGTACTCTCTTAACTGCGCTGCAATACTGAAATTAAGATTGCATTTCACATGCGGCGCTTATGCCTTCCACCAGTGTGTGCATGTATATTGCAATATTAACATCAAGTTGTTGCCGTTCAATAACCAGTCGATTGCTTGAGGATTTCAATGGTGCGCTTTTCTTTGAAAAATTCTCTCTGCCAGCTGTAACAATAAGAATAAAGCTGTGTTGCAAATCTGAGTAATTTTCACTAGACAGGGCTTTCACACCCATTCAATAGCGCAAATCATAAAAATTTCAAGGACATGCTCAGTTTTCCGGAGAGAATTCTTAGTTCGTCGTTTACAGCTAAAAGAATATTGAGTTTTACACTCGCGCGCACCATACGCCACAAGTAAATTGCGTTGCGCGATCGACAAGGCGAGAGTGCGAAACGCAGCAATCTTTTAACTGCCAATAACACATTAAAACCTTCTTCTCAGAAACCAAGCTTATCGGTGAGATCGTTCTGATTTGTACTTTCGAAAAGTTATTCAATGCCTGAATTAATACCTCCGCCCGAGACCGATGTTTGAGTTTGAAAGAAAATTTGCTTCAACTCTACAGTGTACTGTAAAAACCATTTGGAAAATAAAACATACGCTTCACATTCTGAATACTCAAGCTGTCGGATGAATGATAAAACCTAAAATGGAGTACAAAAACACCTTTCTTCAATATGGGTGTAGAGAGGGGAATAGTACCGAGAACACTTTTCTAGAGACACATATTCTAACGAATAGTTTGCAGAATGCCGAAGTTCTAACCCTTTATCCAACACGGTTGTCCCTACCCGCTCAAAAATCTCCCACTATTACTTCTCAATTCTTTTCTCGCATACGCCAACTCTGAATAATTGAAAATACATGAATGATCGTTTCAGTCTTAATTTAATAAAAGTTTTCGATCAGCAAGTATCGAAAACACTGTGCATAATAATTTTTTCATAATTTAGTAGCAGTTCTACTATTTCTATCTGCTATAGTGACTCTTGGGTCTTGCATAAAACTAGGGAAGAGGAAACTAAAGATTTTCTTTGTGACCCCCTTTGTACAATGTAATACAACTGAGTGATTGCCAATTTCAGTATGACTGCGCATTAAACTAGCGTTTTCTTCCGAGAAAGACACGCATAAATGAAGCAAAAGCACATCCCTTTGTGGATATTGCTATTTTCTGCTGGCACGCGGCTGGGTTGGCTACGAAGAGAGCTTGCCGGCTCCTGCTCCAAGGCTAATCTAACAATCAATCCGAAATCAATTTATTTGACCTCCTATTGCGGTGTTATGATGATTCTATAAACATAATGATGTAGAGTGGTGTGCAAAATCGTTTTGTGTCAGCCGAGATTCAAACGCAGATCTCACTCTTTCCGGTAGCATGTGCTATACCGTTGCACCACTGACGCTGGTTTTGCACTGCACTCTTTCTACGCTACAGCGCCTAATCTAATAGTTTTCTGATGAAATTTGTACTTTTTTCGTCAACATGTGGGATTTTTGTGCCAATTAATGGTCAGATATGATAGAAAAACTTCAATAAGATTATTTTTATCAATAATAACGCAACTTTTCCATTCACAATCCACACTCTCGAAGGAAGGAACCAAGTATTGATGAAAAGGCCATATATAGAAGTCTTTTCGAACATTTCTACGATATCTCATCTATATTTACCTACATCTGAATCAAATTTATCTTCTATTTCTTTCATATTTCCGTATACTTCATTGCATGAAGTGCATAAAATTAATCATACTGGCTGAAAATTGGAAAACAGTGGGTCAAAAAGTTTGTGAAACATGGCGCCGCTTGTTGCATACGATCGCATTTCATCGATAATTCTTGATTTTTTTTGATTATTAGTGCAGTTCAGGTTCCACTTTCTCAGATCACTGCATAATTTCGTTCGAATTCTCTATTAATAGCTATGGAATGCGAACAAGAGATGAGCGTATAGCGGTTTTTTCCCGTTTTCTCTATACTGTTCTATCCCTTTTGGTAGAAAACGTATAAAAATGAGGTTTTCATTTTTCAAATGACCTCTTTTCTTCGCTGTAACAGTCGAAAAATACCTTGTTTCACATTCAAGCATTCTTTTTTCATAAGCAATCGATTATCGTATGATTTCAACGGTGTACTTGATGTTGATAAAGGACTTTCATAGTGTCGCAACGGCGGTCAAAAGATTGGATTTGGCAAATTTCTGATGATTTTCAATTTCTGCATCCTGTTTCGACTACTTCTCAAGAAAAACGCGTTTTCCGATTTCATCAGAGTTACCAGCAGCCATTCGGTAGTTTTAATCTTGAAAAATTTAATGTTGGACGCTCAAAATTCGAAGACTTCCACATTATCTTTATTTCTGAGAAGAACTCATTGTTGTACTGTAGCGTTCAAAAGAAGCTTACTTGTCGCAGTTGGTTGATGTGTTGTTGAAGGTAGGGTGACTTGAGGCCAACTTCGCGAAATCCCACACTTTGGAGTGCGAAAACCAATATTCTTCTAACTGTTACAGCTTCAATCAATGACATTCTAGGTTTTTTTAGCAAGATGTTTGTAAAAAATCGAATTATAGCTATATAATCTTTGAAATACGCTTTCAGTTGGAAAAATTGGGCTGGGATTTACAACGTCATCTTTTGTTTTCATTAGAACATACTGTGGGATTATTTTCGAACAATAAGCTTAGTACTAAAGTCAGAATTTTCCAAGCCATCTACTGACTGCAAAAGCATCAGGGAGATATGAAAAAATGCTCAACAACAGCTGGGACTATGAACCTTTTCGCAAGCATGTGGTTTTTTTCTTCTAAAAAAGAAAGATTTTGGGCTGCATTAGCGTTAATCTCGCAAAAATATTCATGCACGAATCTCATCAGTGATTTTTCATCGTTTTTGGCGACTTCATCTAAGAGCTTCATCAACCCGATTATGTATTGAAGCACGCACCAGTTTTCGTAGCTCGTCGAACGGCGCCCCCAACTGAGAGGTATATCGGCCCTCATCGCCCGCAGAGGGATATGTGTGATTCGGAAAATCTTGCTGTATCAAATTAATACAAGAATTCCAAAAATTTTTGCCGAAAGAAAGGAACTACTTGGTCAAATAACGAAAATCGCCCAATTCGCTTTGCGCGCATCGATTTCTATAGCTGTGCTTTAAGGCTCAATGAAATAAGGCGTGCGGACAATAGTGATGGAACGATAAACCTCTGAAGCTCAGTCGTTTGCGAGGGCTAAGCTTTTTTAGAGCATTAAAGTATCGAGCTGTGCAATAATTACACTTAAGATTGGTCGTTTTTTGCAATTCGTAGACACGCGATCGTGTGACACAGAATTCTGATATTTAATCACAGTCCTTTGTATCATGGATATAAGAGGTTAGTTTGCTTAATATTTGAAATTCATTTCGTAGTAAATATGTTTGGAATGAACGATTCCTCTTGCCATAAAGGCTTTCACAAAGGTCGGTTCTCACCGAATTTTGTTAGATGTGCGATAGAAAAGAATCAGAAAGTTTCTGTTACTATTTGACACATTTCTTGGCTTATTTTCAAAGAAAGCACTAGATTGAAATTGATTCATTCTACACATCAATGTACTTCATGCTATGGTCTGACTAATCGACGCCCCAGTGATTTCACAGTTTATTGCTAATTTAGTGTTACAGATCATCGGGTTAATAAAATTGCCTTTCGAAAGCACATGACAGTTCATTTTCAATTTCCAGCGACAGTGGCCGATGCTGAGAAGAAGTGTGATCCAAAGGGACCTGTTGCCAGCATTCGAACCGCTCTGTTAACTACATCTTGCCACATCGTTCTCGACCAATTCGCCATAATGATGTTCGTGGTCTGCAATTTTTTTTTTGCAAAATGAAGTTATTTAGAAATAAATGCAGTTCAAACCGAGAGACTTCCTGAAATTGACAAGTGTGTGCCCGAAACGCCGGTGACCTTGTCATTTTCACATTTCTCCGCGTTCTTTCCCTTGCATATCCCCGCCACAGTGTTGCTAGTGATAATGCAGTTGTCCTTGTCTTGATTCATCAAGGTAACTGTAAGAAACTTGTATGGCAGAAAGACATCTTTTTATCACTGCATCAAAAAACTTAAAAAACTCGAGAATTGTTCCAATAGCGACTATCTATTAACCTCCGCGTGCTTTAATAATTCCTTATTTTTATTCTTAAGCCAGGCACGAGTTGTTATATTATTCTTTATTACAGCTGACATTTCGGCAGCTCGCCTTCTTCAGAGCCCGGAAAGGTCATATTGTCCGCAATCCAATCAGTCAAATACCTCCATTACTCCCTTAGAAAAAATCACCAGACCTAGATTTCACCGCATCAAGCCCAAAATCAACACTCAACATACTTACTGCTTTTTTATATGTGTTCCACAATGATCCAAGTGGAGATCACCGGAAGGACATCAAATAAGCTTGTATTACACCTCACGCATCAAAACAACCTTCTTATGTACCGTTCAATACACGAGAGATAACGAGGCTTTCTTCCGTGAAGCTTCTAGCTGGATTGATTGTGTAAATCCAAACGCTTTTAAAATCTGTCTCACCAATGTCTTATGCTCTTGCACAAAGATGGCGATTTCTGTTGTTAAAATACACTCCGGCGTGTTCTGTGCCCTACTTGTGCCTGGAGGGGTGTTTCGGCTAATGAAACGCTTGTCAGCTAGGTGTTCTTCTGTGGGGGCATAGAGCGGCCTACCCATCTCTCCAAAATATCTATTGCCATACGCTTTGCAGGAGATTAGGTAAGCTGTTCCTGCGTTCATGCAATCACCGTCTCTGCCGTTCGGACATATTTTGCAAATTTTCGTTGTACAGACCGGTCATATAAGTGGTTGCGAGCTAATTGGTGCCTCAAAGTATTCGGTGGTATTTCAATGATCGTAACCTATTTCTCTAAACCTGCTCTTTTCAAACAACGTTTTTATCTTTCAACGATAGTGTAAATGATGTACCAAGAAAAACAACGGATACTATGTCAGAAGGTCACATACTCTTTGTGATGGTGAGCGGTCGCTAGTAGAATTGTGTCCAAGTTCCTCACTATCCCAAACAATTTCTAAGGTATCCTAGCGTATTGCATGCAGCCTACATGAGCTGCAAGATAAAGTTCATGAAAATGCCAGAGGTGAGAAAATTAATAGCAATGAGCAGCAAGTAGAGACTTTACCAGTACCACCGTTTGCGCAGGAGATCTATAAGCAAAACCCCAACGAGGAAGCTGATGGAAAATTTCGGAAGCTTGCGAACCAAGCTTTCACAACTCTTATTCACTATCGCGCAAAAAGGTTTGACTCAAACTTCATCAAACTACAAAAGTGAGGAGCTGACAAAACAGGCATAAAACGTTCATCAATGCTCATGATGCGGTGCATCCTCTATCAGCATACTTTTTTTCAAATGTAATTTTCTTTCCTTCTAGACATCTCATCAGTTATTCGATAGCTTAACTATCAAAAATTTGAAAGATATCCTTTGTTTTTTGGAAGGTCTTTATGTTACACTATAACAGTGAAAAGGAAATGTTATTCAACTGACGAGCATCTTTAGATGAGCAAAGCTTTTCCTCGGAAAGTATAACAAATCTTCGATAGCACAAAATTTGGTAAATCTGATAGTGCTTTTGGTTACCCCAGAAATGCCTTTATTGCGCTGCAACACAACGAAATTAAGATTGCATTTCACATTCGGCGCGTACGCCCTGCACAGGTATGTGGATGAGTAATGCATCATTGGCATCAAGCCGTCGCTGTTCAACATCAGTCGATAGCTCAAATCTCAGAAATCAAGGGCATGTTTGTGTTTTGAAAAAAAGTCTCATAGTGAGCTGTGGCAACAAAAATAAAACTATGTTCCATGCCTGAGTATTTTTCGACAAACATGACTTTTCTCTCAGATTTTCACACCTGTTCAATAGCACAACTCTCAACAATTTTGAGTATGCATAGTTTTTGAGAATGAGTTCTTAATGGGTCATCACAGTCAAAGGAATATTGGGTTTTATAATCGTCGCGCACCGCATGCCACATGTAAATTGCGCAGCACGATCTACACGGCGCCGAATGGGAATTTCAATAATCTTTTAGATCTAACAGCGCATTAAAACGTCCTCCTCAAAAACCAAGCTTATCATTGAGAAATTTAAGATTTGTGGTATTGAATGGTTATTGAAAGTCTAAATGAAAACCTCAGTCCAGCGGAAGACGCTTGAGTGTGAAAGAAAATTTTACTTTACCTTAACACCATGATATAAAAACCATTTGAGAAAATAAAACTCACCCTCACATTCTCTACATTTAAGCTGTCAAAATTCTTTTAAAGCCTCGGAAATAACCGAAAAATACCTTTTGTCCGAATATGGACGCTGATAGGGAAAAA